AAACAGCTATTTGGGCTCCACGGTCCCGTGGGTGAGAGGCAGGAGGGGGAGGAGAAGTGAAAGAAAGAGACAGAGAGAGAGGCAGGAGGCGGAGGAGAGAAAGAGAGAGAGAGAGAGAGAGAGAGAGATGGAGCGAGAGACTGGAGGCTCAGGAGAGAAGACCGACGTGGAGGAGAGACCTGAAAATCCCGTCTTATGACGGGCTAATTGGCTAGTTTTGAAATAACAAGCAGAGCGTCCACATGATGGCTTATTTTGAAATCTGTTCTCCTGCTTTCCACGAAGAATAACACTTATCTCAAAATAGCAGCACCGTGGACACTCCGGGGCTGCTTTTTCCAAATAGCCTCTCCTCAGAGTCATTCAAGTAATTACTCCCCGTGCTTCCTGGGGCGCTCAGTTGAGGTACTAAGTGAGTCACTATTCAGACACCTCACCTGCCTCTGCTTTTATGCTCCCGGTTGCTACTGCAGATTTTTAAATGAGCCTGTCGAAACTGCCCCAGCCTTCTCACTGCAATCAATATTCAGCAGGCAGAAACTAATCCGGAGTCTCAGCAAGCGGCTATTTCTCAGTGAACACCTGACAGTTAATTCTCTGGAGCCCCGAAGTCGGGGAAAGCGGAACCTCCGGAGGCTGCCGCTCCACAGGTCCTTGGCTTGACGTAGTGTTATAAAAAGCCGAATGTGGCTCCGTAATAGGAACGTCATGGGCATTTCTCATTCACACCCGGGCCTTGCATGCTCATGCTTCCTGGGGTTCAAAGCTTGGATGCTCTAGGGGGCCTCAGATAATTTATTCTCCACTCCCATTGATGGACTCTAGGGCAAAATGGTCATTCCCTTGCCTGTACCAGGTGCAGGTCATTCTATTAGGATATTAATTAGTCTGCCTATAACACACCCTTCCATTTCATTTCACAGGCTCTTTTCACGGTCCCGGTCACACTCTCAATAGGCGTTATTTCAGCTTTCCAAATACCTGCTTTCTTCAATAATAATAACCTACTGGCTGTCTATCTTCTCATGATGATGTTTGGGTGAGTGTGTGGCTCGGTTTACTTTAACAGGACTTCATGGGAGGGAGGCAGGAATTTGCGTAGGGTTTGGGGCCAGGAACAGAGCTGCATGACTTTACCGTCACTGCTCCAGGGAGACCCGTCTCTTGGAAGAGATGAGGCAAGAACCATTATCCCTGTTTTAGGAAGGGGAACCAAAGGTATCACAGCAGACGGGGGGCCACCACCAGCCCTTCCTGCGGCCAGACAGAGGCCAGGCACCGGGGCCTGCCCAAGGATCGGGGCCAGAGACAGGCAGCAGGTTTAAAACAAATAAAAGGAAGTTCTTCATACAGTGCATAGTTAATCTGTGGAACTCCTTGCCTAAGGAGGTTGTGAAGGCTAGGTCTATAACGAGGTTCCAAAGAGAACTGGATAAATTCATGGAAGTTAAGTTCATAAATGGCTATTAGCCAGGATGGGTAAGGAATGGTGTCCCTAGTTTCTGTTCGTCAGAGGGTGGAGATGGATGTGGCAGGAGAGAGATCGCTTGATCATTACCTGTTCGGTTCACTCCCTCTGGGGCACCTGGCACTGGCCACTGTGAGCAGACAGGACACTGGGCTGGATGGGCCTTTGGTCTGACCCAGTATGACCGTTCTTATGTAAGAATTGGAGAGGCTGGGCTGACTCCTGCATACAGATATTACGTGATAACCCTTAACTCGGTAGCCGTCAAAAGCCATGGGGGAGATGAGGCAAGAACCGTTATCCCTGTTCTTGAAAGAGGGGAACCCAAGGTGGCAGCTCAGACACTAGAGGTTCAGAGACCTAGGACACCCTGGCAGGGGCAAAAGTTGCCTGGCTGTGCTTGTCTTTATTTCCTCTCTAGGCAGATTGTACTGTGTGCCCACCAGTGGCCACCGTGAGCCCTGGAGGGGGTACAGGAGTCTGGGTAGGAGTAGATAAAGGGCGCAGGGCAGGGGGTTCAGGTGTCTGATGGACTCAGGGCACAGGACTGAGGTGTGGTAGGGAGGATAAGGCAGCCTGCTTCTCCAGGGCAGCAGCTGGCAGGGCATGGGTGGGGAAGGTGGCTTGCTTTGGGACTCTCTTCTGGTAGCTGGGCAGCCACCACCCACTTCCCGAGGGCGGGAGCTGGCATCCGCTGAAGGAAGGATAAGGCAGCTCCTGAAAGTAGGCAGGTGGGGTGGGTCCTCCAGTGGCCATCATCCTCCAGCGCCTGGGGTTGGGGGTTCGAGTCCCCATCTGTCCTGGGATCAGCTGGGCAGCAACAGCGGCTGGGGACAGGAGCACTGCTGCAGCCACCATGCTGCCCATCCAGCAGGTCTTGTTTGACATTCCGAACAGCAATGCCCATTTGCATGACTGAAACTGTGATGACACCTGATATTAGATGAGTTACTATGGTTGATAATGGACATGAGAACCGCATCACTGAACCATTGTACTCACAGCCTTGATTTCACGGGACTTCTGGGGGTGCAGTTTGTGGCTGTGGTGCTGCAGGAGTCAGGGTTGGGATGTATCGGGGTTCAGGGGTGTGTGGGAGGGGCAGGGTACTGGGCGTGGGAAGTAGACTGTGTGTGGGGCGGGATTACCTTACCTGGCCGTGGCTGAGCTGCTGCACCCAGGCAACAGTAGCTGGACAAGGAGCTGGGCCAGGATCGCTGCTTCTGGATTGTGGCCTCCCCTCCTACCTATTCCACAGCAGGAGGGGGGCCACCACCAGCCTTTCCAGGGGCCAGACTCCAGGGCCTGCCCAAGAATTGGGGCTGGGGACAGGACGCTGTGGCCAGAGGGGGGTTTGCCCTGACTGGGGCCTTGCTGGCAGCTGGGGACAGACCACAGCCATCAGATGGAGGCTGGAGCCAGGCCACCGTGGCCAGATGGAAGCATCTACCACCTCCAGCCCCTCTCCCTATCCCAGCTTGGAGCACGCACATGTCCCCCACAGCCAGCCCCTTAAACAAGCGCAGTCCCCCAGCTGGCCAATCTCTGGTTAAAGAGGAAACAGACCAGAAAAGACCAGCTGGACATGAGTAACTATGTGTGTTTAAAATTGTGAATTCATTTCTTCATTTGAATTTTAAAAGTTGCATGTATTTTTGGAATGACGTATTTGGTTCCATATTGAGCCATGTTTGGCTCAAGAGCCATGCTGACCCCTGTTCTAGAGGGTGCTTGATCCTGCCATGAGGGCAAGGGGCTGGACTTGATGACCTCTCTCTATATCCCTTCCAGTTCTAGTGTTCTACGATTCTATGAAGAAGCCAGACTGGTTTTGAATCTTCCCACAAAGTTTTTGTTTGTACTTTGAGCTAGGTCAGGCCTACAAGATCTTCAAGACTTTGCCCCTAGCTGATCTGGTTAAAGAGTTTTCCTTTGCCTTGACTACGTTTCATCAACGTTTCCCTCCAATTCCACCAGATAGATTTTCTATTTTTCCTCCTCTCTTTCAAATTCCCAAGTCCAAGAGTAGAAGGAAGGTCAGTCTGGAGGTTAAGGCCCAGACCATGACTGAGGGCCACCACCGTTCAAGTCCCTCTTCCACTAGAGACGTCTTCTCTAACGTTGGGTGAGTCACTATGACTCCACTGTAAAATGCTCCTCTCCCTCACAGCAAGGTTGTGAGATTAAAAAGCGGTGTAGAGTTCTGAGATCTGCTGAGGAAGGGTGCTACATAAGAAATAGGCATTATTATTATTGCGACAGTGACTTTACCCGCTTGTGTATCATGCGTGAGGCGGAATTCTTCTGTTGGCAGCTTTTGCCACTCTTAGAATCACTTTACTTCTCTCTCTGCGGTTGGTGTTCTACAGATACGCAACGTTTTCGTGGATGTACTTGCTGGCTGGCATCTTCAAGGAAACGGGAATGGCCTTCATCGTTTATGTCAGCATCAACTTGTCCTTTGGCATTAATACCATCATTACTCACTCGGTGGTGTTTCTGCTTTCCCAAGAAAAGGCTGGTGATCAGGTAAGAGCTCACTGTCACTTTGGGCTTGTCTACATGGTGCATTGGTCCTGGCCCGGGTAGACTCTGCTGGCATGCACTAAAGTCCCCGACTATGTCTTAATTAATGTATCCCATTTTAAACAGGACTACTAAGCCCTGTGTTAACTCTTAGAAAACTGATTGGTTTCCAAGGCCATGTCTACACTAGGAAACTATTTTAAAATGACTAAATTCGACCTAATAACTCCTCATTTAACCTATTTGAAGTAGCGTGTCCTCGGTATGGGGAAGCCTTGAAATTAGTCCGAGGTAGGCTCCATTAATATGGACACGCTACCTTGGACCTAGAGCCCCAGGAAGCACGGAGGAGCTGCGAGAGACCTCCTGAAGGCCAATTGGTTTGAGTTAGCGGCATCAGAGTGTCCACACTAACGTTATTTCGGACACACAACTTTGGAATCAGCGTTACTCCTGATGAAAAGCAGGAGAACAGAGTTTGAATTCTGCAGCCTGTTATTTCGAAATAACGGGCGTGGTAGTGTGAACGCACCGCTTATAAATTCAGACTTGGAGGCGGGGAAGAGGATATTTCAGAATAAGGTCCTAGTGTAGCTCAGGGCCAAGTGCCTGAGTCAAAAGCTATTGAAGTCCACGGGAGTTTTCCCTATTGGTCTCAATGGGGTTTGGAGCACAACCCTGAACTTGCATTTTTTCAAGGTTTCAAGGCAGGTCAAAGGGCTGGTGAGGTCTCCTATTGCCAAAACATGGAGCAAGTCAGACTCTTGCTTGTCCATTTAATTTTCCCCACTTGTGGTTAGGAACCAGGAGTGGAGAGAGAGGCAGATGGGAGATCCGGGAGGATGGAAAACAGATGCATGTGGGAGAGATCAGGGAATGAATGCAGGCCCACATTTTTGGGAAAGACGGTTGTGTTGAGTGTTAATAATAGTAAGTTCTTCCAGTGCAAATTACTGAGCCTGACTACTAAATCTCAGTGCCCCCAGGGTTAAACTTTCTGCCATCTAAATGTAAAACAAGTGCTGAATACGCTGAATTCCTGCCCATACAACGGGAAAAGCAGGGCTGTCAACAGAGGGGGGGCAAAGTGGGGAGCTGCCATGGGGCCTGGTGATTTAAAAAGGCCCGGGCCTCCTGTCCGTCACTACCACTGCCTCAGCAGCGGCATTTCATGTAGTGCTGAAGGGCTGGCTGAGGGAGCCCCGCCCCTTCCTCTTGGGGCCCCGCCCCTTCCTCTTGGGGCCCCACCCCTTCCTCCTGATGCCCTGCCCCTTCCTCCTGGGGCCCCGCCCCTTCCTTCTGATGCCCTGCCCCTTCCTCCTGGGACTCCACCCCTTCCTCCTGAGGCCTGGCTAGGCTCCTGCCCCAGGCCCGGTGAAGTCTGTCCTCAGCCCCGAGGAAAAGTGACTCCAAGGCACTGATGTTTCCCTAAAGTCGAGCACTGCTCTTTCACACCTCTGCTTCCCATGTGCCTTGGCGAATCCATCTGGTTAAAATGTAAACTTTGGTTTTGTTTACTACCAAGACAATCTTTTGATTTAAAAAAAATTGGAATCCATCTTTGTCCCGCTGTCAGGCAGTACCTGTTTACCAAACTCTTGGCTTGTGCTATGCATTTGTCACACACTCGCTGGAAAACCGCTCCTGCACCTCCCCAGGCAAAACGTGTCTCCTGGACAGTGGGCATGGGGCTGCTTGAACAAGCAGAACCGATGTGCTAGGGCAGCTGGATGGCTTTATCCCCACCTGCATGAAGAACTGCAGCCTGCAACTTGCTTACTCAGCGTTACCTCACTGAGGGCGTCCCTCCACCAGGAGAATTCCCAGCCGTGGCCTCAGGGCACCTTCCTGGCTGCTGTACAAAGCGGTGGGAATAGCAGCCTAGAAACCTGGAAATCCGACCGGGGGGTGCTCACTCTCCAATTCCAAAGCATCTAACGGGGTGGGCACCGATTCCCAGTGACTTTCCCACCCATTTTGGAGCTCTTCACTCATGATTCATCCAGGGTGTGAGAGAGGCCGATCAGCTCAAACAGGAGTCAATCCCACGCTTTCCCCAAGAACAAAGTCACAATGATCATTCGTGTTTCTTTTTTTTCCCCCTTCCAGGGCTTGCACGATCTCGCTGAAATCTTGAGGCACGTTTTCCTGATCTTCCCACAATTCTGCTTTGGCTACGGCTTGATTGAATTGTCCCAGCACCAGGCACTAATGGGCTTCTTGAAAGCTTATGGTGTGGATTACCCCAATAAAACTTTTGAGCTGGACCACATAAGCTCCAAGCTGCTGGGCATGTTTATCCAGGGCACGATATTCTTTGCCATTCGGCTCTTAGTGCGTGACGGGATGATTCAGAAAGTCTGGTCTGGTATATTAGAGTAAGTACCATCTATTTACCTACCCTGGCTGTAGATTAAAACAGAGCTCGGTGCTTTAGTGGTGGGATCTGACACGGTCATCCTTATCAATTACTAGTATTTGTCATCGCTCTATAAACTTACACAGCACTTTGCCAACACCGCACAAGCTCTCTCGGGTGGCAGTTCCTATCTCTGCTTGTGATGAGTAGTGCAAATGTGTGCACCTTCGTTTTTGGATGCCCCTGCCTGTCTATGGGCATCTAGAATTGCTTGCCTGTCCTACTTGTGCACGTGCTGGACAGTTCCAACATCGGAGAAGGGAGAGGTATTTAGTATTGTAACATCTGCACAGGCCCGTGAGTTCAGTTTCAAAAAGAATCGGCCTGGCTGACAGAGTCCATTCTCCGCTGGAAAGGTGACCCAAAGGGCAGCCGTTTCAGCTCTCTGGTGCCTCAGGATGTTGAAGGGTCCGCCGGAAGAGTAGCTCCGGTGTCAGCTGATCCAGAGCCCCTTCAGTGTATGCTGTGAAATGTTGAGACCAAGCTTATTTGGGGTTCACTTCATGCAGGGGCTGCTCCCCACGTTCTGATGGTCAAAGCGGTCACCAGAACTGAAAGCTGCCATGATGTAGGCCCTATAGCAAAAGCAACGCATTTGGTGAATACAAGGAAAAGCTTTGCAGAGAAAGAACATTTATTTGTAAGCATCATATGCAGAATAATAATAGGAGAGAATTTTATAATACAACTAGGCTGCGTCTAGACTGGCGAGTTTTTCCGCAAAAGCAAGTGCTTTTGCGGAAAAACTTGCCAGCTGTCTACACTGGCCGCTTGATTTTGCGCAAAAGCACTGACGTTCTACTGTCTGAAATCAGTGCTTCTTGCGCAAATGCTTTGACGTTTCCGTTCAGGCAAAAGCCCTTTTCTGGAAATGCTTTTGCGCAAAAGGGCCAGTGTAGACAGCTGAAAACTTTTTGCGCAAAAAATCCCCGATGGCGAAAATGGCGATCAGGGCTTTCTTGCGCAAAACCACGTCTAGATTGGCACAGATGCTTTTCCGCAAAAAGTGCTTTTGCGGAAAAGCGTCCGTACCAATCTAGATGCTCTTTTCTGCAAATGCTTTTAACGGAAAAACTTTTCCGTTAAAAGCATTTGTGGAAAATCATGCCAGTCTAGATGAAGCCCTAGTGTATACAATAGGATCTCATTTCATTTTTACTGAAAAGACACTAGGACCAGGTCTACAGTAGACCTGGCAGCTCAGCTAAGGGACACAACTCTAGTTATGCATTCTACATAAATAGAGTTGGCTTACCTTAAGCAGAGCATGGTGGTGTCCCCACAGCTGAAGGTTGACAGGAGCAAACACTCCCGGTGGCTTCCCTTACTCCTCACAGAAGCAGGAGTACCGGATACCAGCGGGGGTGCCCTCTGAGTTTGATTTAGTGAGTCTTAACTAGACTCACTAAATCAAACTCTGGAAGATCAATTGCGGAAGCCTCGATCTTCCGCAGAGTGAAAACAAGGCCTAAGTCCTCTGAACAGATAGGAAAATTGCCTGCTTCTACGCCTGTAGGTTCCTGTTCAACAAAGTGCATGGCAGGCTGCCGCTTCTGCTGCCGGAAGCTGATGAAGACGAAGATGTTCAGGCTGAGCGTGAGCGGGTTGAGTCAGGCCAAGCAGACAACGACGTGGTGCAACTGCAGAGCCTCACCAAGATCTACCATCTTCCTCTGAGAAGGATCATGGCAGTCAAAAACATCAGCGTTGGGATCCCAGCAGGCGAGGTAAGCAAGCTGGGTAAGGCAGCAGCATTTCTCCTCCAATAAAGGAGCTAGACCAGTAGAGGGAACTGAAAATGCCCTCCAAGCCACTACCTCATTTTCTTCCTGGTCTGTGCTTAAGACTCAGCAAGAGCAGGTGACCGCAACTAGTATCTTACTTTACTATTGCCTCATCCTTCCTTCCTCTCTTGCGGGG